AAAAAAAAAAAAAAAAAAAAAAAAAAAAAAAAAAAAAAAAAAAAAAGACTTTCCCGTGTGTGGTAGGGCACACACAGACACGGACAGACAGATACACATACACGGAGTAATAAATTTTTTTAAAAGCAACAGGATGGGGCCTACAAAGATGACTCAACAGTTAACAACACTTGCTCTTGAAGAGGACCTGGGCTCGAGTCTCAGGACCCACAAGGCGGCTCACAAACATCCGTAATTCCAGATGCAGGGGATCATTCAACTCTCTTTTCTGACCTCTGCAGGTACAAGACATACCTGTGACACACAGATACATAAAATGCATCTTTATGGTGGGTGGTGGTGGCGCACGCCTTTATTCCCAGCATTCGGGAGGCAGAGGCAGGCGGATCTCTATGAGTTTGAGGCCAGTCTGGTCTACAGTACGAGTTCCAGGACAGCCGAGACTGTTACACAGAGAAATCTTGTCTCAGAAAAACCACATGTGCACACACATACATGCACACACGCAAGCATACACGCATGCACACACACACACACACAAAATCTTTAAAAAATAAAAAAAAATCCAAACAAACAACAGAACTACCAGGGTACCAATGAAGTGGAGTTTGGTCAAATGCCATCAAAACACTGGCCATGAGGTACTGGTACTGGGAACTTCCTAGGTCCCAGGCAGACCAGGACAGTAGTTACCCTAACTACAAGCCAAACATAAATGACAGTGACCTTGTGAAGAAAACAAAACAAACAAACAAAAAAACCCGTGTGCATATTGTATTAAAAATATTTAAAAGATCTACCAAAGTTATCTTAGAGCAGCTTAAAAATTATGATGTAGGGGCTGGGCAGTAGTGGTGCCTGTTTTTAATCCCAGCACTTGGGAGGCAGAGGCAGGAGGATCTCTTGAGGTCAAGGTCAGCCTGACCTACAAGAACTAGTTCCAGGACAGCTAGGGCTGTTACACAGAGAAACCCTGTTTCAGAGAACCAAGCAAAGAAACAAAAATTACGGTGTATTCTGTTACTACTTCCCAAGTCTCCTGCCATGTAGTGGCTTCATGTTACATGTTTTCATAGGCTGTCATCAAGAGGGTTATTGGGGGAATCCCTCTTGCCTGTAGGTGGAGAAAGATGATTAAAAACAAATAAGTTCAACCACATCAGGTCTTTTAGATTTCTGCTCGTAGCTCAGGCATGGTGATCAGCTCTAGGCCCTGCCTTTGAGCCCCCATCCTGGGAGCTGCAGGCTGAGAAGTCTCTTCTGCAGGAAGCTGCCCCAGCACAGGAAGATGGGCGTGCCCTGAGCAGGCAGGCAGATAATTACCTAACGCTGACACCAGGATGGGAATAATGCCGCTAACCAGCTCACTTCCTAACAGCCCTATCGGTGGCAATCTATTGCTTTGTCTTATGAAAACCTGCTGCCTGTTCCTAGGCAACCCGATCAACGGAAATTTCAGGTTTATACAATTTTCATTTAGGGAAC